TTTTCATCCGCCAACCAGCAAAACCTAGACCCTGAACCCTAAACCCTGAACCGTAAACCCTGGACACTCAATCCTAGACCCTGAGCCCTAAACCCTGAACCCTAGCCCTAAACCCTAAACCCTTACCCCTAAACTGCTACGTAGCCCTACTCGGTCCCACGCCCCGTTGTTGCTGCGCGACCACGGCCGCAGGGAGTTTTCCAACAGGCTGACCAGGGCCTTAGGACTCAGGGTTCAGGGTCGCGAATGATCACGTTAAGGCAGGAGAGAAGGAAGGGGAGGGGGGGGGGGAGGAGTTTAGGGTAGACCCAAGAGCCCAGAGACTCCAAAACCCCTTAACTAAGGAACATACCTTAAATCAGATTAGGGTTCCTAGTATGATTTGAGGGATATTCCTTAACTAGGGGGCTGTGGAGTCTCTGCAAGAAGCCTAGGAATAAGCAGGGCGCCCCTTTTTTGGGTTTTAAAGAGGCTTACAAGGGAACCGAAGCCCTAAATCTCTTCTCCCCACTCTCTCTGCCGGCCTTCCCCGCCGCCCGAAAGGCGATCTCAGCTGCGTGCGATGAGGGCCATCTGGGACATGATGCGCAAGATCCTGCCCAGTTCATCCTTCCCAACCCCAAAGCCTAGACGGTTTAGGGTTTAGGGTTTAGGGTTTAGGGTTTAGGGTTTAGGGTTTAGGGTTTCGGGTTTAGGGCCAGAGACTCTTTCAGCTCTAAACCCCTGAAACCCTCAACCTTGGTGGGTCTTTGGGAGTGTCTGGGCGCTCCATATGGAGTTAAGACGCTTGATGACCCTACAAGGAAGGCCCTCTAATAAGTAGGGTTCTTAGGGTTTAAGTTTCCTCTACTGGAGTCCCAAGTCCTTAACAGGGATTGTAGTAGGGGGTACTATAAATCCCTACCAAGGACTGTCGGTATAAGGGGAAACATCCCTAAACCCTAAACCCTAAACCCTAAACCCTAAACCCTAAACCCTAAACCCTAAACCCTAAACCCTAAACCCTAAACCCTAAACCCTAAACCTAAACCCTGAACCAATCTATATATCGCATGAGGGAGGCCCTACCCTGAAGCTTTGCGGAAACGCGGCCTTCTGGGCCTGGAAGAAATAGGTCAAGCAGCTGAGTTCCCCCTAAACCCTAAACCCTAAACCCTAAACCCTAAACCCTAAACCCTAAACCCTAAACCCTAAACCCTAAACCCTAAGCCCCAAACCCTAAGCCCCAAACCCTAAGCCCCAAACCCTAAGCCCCAAACCCTAAACCCCAAACCCCAAACCCTAAACCCCAATCCTTAAATCAAGCACCTCCAGCCCGTCACAACACCATACAGGCTTTCTCGCCTTGAAATTCAGGTGCCCTGCCATCTACTGGCTTGCTTCTGACGGAACTTAAGCGAGGCTACCAAAACAGTCATATCTTGATAGACATATATGCATAACTATATACAAGTGCGTGCATATATATATATATATATATAGAGTCTCAGCGAGAGCAACCCTAAACCCTAAACCTGAATTCACCATCCTTCAACAGCAGAGCATTCTAAAAACGTAAACCCCTATGCCCACCGCAGCTCCTGCCGGGCACGGCCATCAAGAGGAAGGCGAAGGAGGTGCGGAAGACCCTTCAGATTTCGGGCTGTGGGTTCAGGGTTTTAGGGTTCAGGGTAAACCTTAAACAGGTTTAGGGTTTAGGGTTTAGGGTTTAGGGTTTAGGGTTTAGGGTTTAGGGTTTAGGGTTTAGGGTTTAGGGTTTAGGGTTTAGGGTTTCATGGTGAAGAGCTTCGGAAACAGGACTAGATATATGGAGATGAAGACAAGGGTAGTTCAAGGCTTAGGGTAGAGAGGGGGCCTGTTGAATGAGATCATGGGTTTAGGGTTTAAGGTTTAGGGTATGAGATAGGGTAGTCTGAGTAGGTCTGGAGTAGTAGTGGAAAATCTAGTAGTCATTTGGGTGGTTGTCAAAATTATGATCCCTGTTGGGTTACTCTAAATATTAGGTGTCATATTATAATTGGGATCCAAAGGGACCATAATTTTGACAACCACCCATGTAGGGTCGTTAGCCATCGGTGCCCCGGGAGCGCCCAAAGGAATACCGTGAATCCGTGAATGACTCAGGGACCCTTATTACGATTGCAGGTCACTTCCTGAAATGAAGGGTTAGGGTTTAGGGTTTATAGGTTTTATAGGGGTTTATAGGGGTTGAAAGGGCTTATAGGGTTTATAGGTTTTATAGACGTTTATAGGGTTTGCAGGATTTGTAGGGTGTAGAGGGTTTTCAGACGTTGGGTGTCTGACGGACTTGCTGTTAAGGAATTTGATTTCAACTACCGTGAGATGGGGGAGTCTCTAAATTGGGGGGGCGGGGGGGGGGGGGGGGGGGGGGGGGGGGGGGGGGGGGGGGGGGGGGGGGGGGGGTCGCTTTTGGGTTTGGGGTTTATATACGGACTGACCTCTCTTATTTAGGGGTACGCAAAAAGGGACCATATTTTAGAGAAAACTGACCATGTGGATGTAGAGTGCAGTAGGCCAATCCCGTTTCCTGATTCTGGTCATTTTATCATTAGGCAGGCCCCTGAAACCCTCTAGAAGACTATGCCTTATAATCCGCTTGAGCCCCCTGGAAGTTTTGGGGTTTGGGGTTTGGGGCTTATAGGGGTTTAGGGTTTCGGGTTTAGGGTCCACGGCTTAGCGATCATGGCGCGTTTTTTTTTGGATGTCGGGTTTGAGGCTTCTTGGTTCAGGTACCCTGGGCCAAAAGAGTTTAAGATTTCAATTATGGTAGGATTATATATATATACCCCAAAAGGTTGAAGGTGACTGGATGTTGTGGTTTAGGGCTTTCGCATCTTGGCGTTTCGGGTTTTACTTCGGGGCTTTACGGAATGTAAGGATTTTCTGGGTTCTAGGATGTCAGGCTTGAGGCTGTACTGTTTGTTAGGGGAATAACAGCTCTCCAAATCGGTGGCCCAAGGGGCATCAGGACGTCCCACCAGTACATGCCGTACTTGTAGCCTGTCCGTCAGTCTTGGCAGGAGGCACTTCAACGATTCTATGGTTTAGGGGTTCAAGGTTAGGGTCTAGGGCCTTTAGGGTTTAGGGTCTAGGGTCTTAGGGTTTAGGGTTTAGGGTTTAGGGTGCCCTGAATCCTACTACCCCTGAATCCGGCTAGCCGGCCACCTCCCCTCCCTCTCCCCCAAAGAGGGCATAGAGCCTGGTAGCTTGCAAGGCAGGTAGACCCTAAACGTACCCTAAAACCTCAGCGGAACACACGTGGACTCATGTCGTGGAGAGCCCTAAACCCTAAACCCTAAACCCTAAACCCTAAACCCTAAACCCTAAACCCTAAACCCTAAACCCTAAACCCTAAACCCTAAACCCTTTTCCCTAAACCCTTTTCCCCAGCAAGCCCAGGAGCTCGAGGCCCTAAATCCCCAAGTCCAAACTTCCCTTAACGTCTACGTGGGTGTAGGGTTTAGGGTTTAGGGTTTAGGGTTTAGGGTTTAGGCGAACTCTTGGGTTAAGGGCTTAAGAGCTAATACTAGTTCTACCCGCACCCACCCGTACCCCCCCTCGGATCTTCAAACCTTGATGAGGCAAAACGTTAATTCCTACGGGGGCCATGGACTGGGCGCTTGGGGTCCAAGCCGGTTCTGGGTTGATGTTAGGCTTCGGCGTCCTGACCCTAAACCCCCAAGCCCTCCCCGAAGCCCCCTCAACCCTTGAACCCTCCCCAAAAGCCCCAAAACCCCTAAACCCCAAAGCCCAAAAAACCCAAAATCCCGAAACCCCGAAACCCCCAAAACCCCTAACCCCCAAACCCCTAAACCCTAAACCAGAAGTCCCTCCTTATGCTCCCGAACCCTCGTGCCTGCATTGAGGAAGGCTACAGCCTCCATGGTGGCCCTCAAGAGCGAGGGATGTGATTTGGGATTTAGGGTTTAGGGTTTAGGGTTTAGGGTTTAGGGTTTAGGGTTTAGGGTTTAGGGTTTAGGGGGTGGGGTTTAGAGTTTAGGGTTTAGGGTTTGGTGTTTAGGGTTTAGGGGGTGGGGTTTAGGGTTTGGGGGGGTCCAAGCTGGGGGTGAGGGTTTTGGGGGGAAAGGGCTTTTGGGCTTAAGGCTTCTTTTGTTGGAATCCGGTGCCAAATTTTAATACCCGGATTCGCAAGTCTGTTTGCACTACCGGCACGGCTGAATCGAGGCCAGCCCCTTCCAAGCCCAACACCTCCAACAATCCAATCCGCCGGCCTCCACCCTGAACTCCTCAACCTAAACCCTAAACCCTAAACCCTAAACCCTAAACCCTAAACCCTAAACCCTAAACCCTAAACCCTAAACCCTAAACCCTAAACCCTAAACCCTAGGGTTGGAGGGCCGGGGTGCGGCTGGAAAACTGAACAAAAACTGAAAAAGGCTCGGGCCAAAGAAGAGGTACCAAAAAGGGCTGGAGGGCTGGAAGGACGAGGCTGGGCTGGGGGCGCTGGAGGGCTGGGGGCGCTGGGATACCAAAGGGGCCTTAAAAAATTAGAATAGGGTTCTGCGGGGGGAGGATAAAGGGACGAAAAGGGAAAGTTATGAGTCATTCTTCCGACGCCTACATTATGCTGGAAGGCTGGAGCAGGTGGGGTGGGGCTGGTGGGCTTCAGCCTTGCTCTGGAGGCCTGGAGGCGTGGGGTTGTTTCATTTTAGACTAGAGTCGTCTCCAACCCCAGAGTATCCCCAGAGAGCCCAATTCCAGAGCATCCCCAGAAAATCCCTGAATTGCCCACCGAGGCCGTCGTTGCTGCCGTCGTTGCCGTTTTGATTTTGTCGTCGTCATCGTCGTCGTCGCCGTTGTTTTAGTGAGTATGGCTCTGGTTAGTGATTCAAGGACTATTCCTTAGTTCGTACTGAAGATTTTTCGATGCTTTAAGGAAAGTCTCTTAGCTCATCGTCTGGCTCCCTATGGACCCAGCTATTGCGGCGCCTTTCTGCTACAAGAAACAGGGCCCCGACGCTTCGGACTTCCAGCGGTAGGAGAGCAAAACGACCAAAGCCTCGGCAAGGGTTAGGGTTTAGGGGTTTAGGGCTTAAGGCTTGGGTTTAGGATTTTGGCTTTGCGGGGCAAAAGTCCTCACGTGGGTGGGTTTTAGGGGTGAGGGGGATTTGGGGAGCAGGGCCCGGGAAAGTTTGGGCGTGGGGCTAAGTACCGCATCCACTTCTTGCCCTTGCGCTGGGACTCATCAGTCTGGGTTTTTGGTACTTTAAGGGCTTTAAGGTTCAGGGTTCCCCTCCCTAAGCCCAAAACCCAAACCCTGAAGTCACTAGTCACTAGAAGCCATGACCCAAAGCCCAAAATCCTGAGTTGAGACCCCTGGTTTCGAGGCTTATGGGAGGGTTTGGAGTTCAGGGTTTGGGGCATCACGCTGCTGCGTCCCTTCCGGCCCATTTTCTCACGCTCCGCCCGGCTTTTGCATAATCCATGTTGGCTCTGATTCGTCCTCAGTGATGAAGACTGGCAGGCCCATACCTGAAGCTGCGGCTGAAACAAAAGTTGGAGCAACTTGCCTGGAGAAACCTCTTTGGGCAAACAGGGGAAGTATGTTGAGTTATGTTCTTTAAGAAGGGGAAATCTCTCAAGTAACTGCTGTATTGGCCTGTGTGCTCAAAGAGGTGTGCGGTCGACAGCTTACAGGAGCTCGTGCTCGCTATGCGTGCGAAGTATGGCCGTTCTGGTGTCTAAAGAAATCACAAGATGGGCCTTATGTGCCTTGGGTGTATGATCCTCGTAGTTTTGGCTTAGGGTTTAGGGTCGAAACCTTTTCGCACACGCCGGGCCGGGATTGAAGGGGCCGACCCGTAACAAGCAGATGAAAACGTACACCCTAAACCCTACACCCTAAACCCTAAAACCGGGTTCAGTGGGAACAGCGGCATTCTGGAGTTGCAAAAGAAATGCTCCGGTTCAGAGCTTTACTAACCAATTCTAACTGTACTTATAAGACCCCAAAAGGGCCTTATAGGGGTTATCCCTATTACAAGTAGGGTTACAAGCCCAGTTATAAGTGGATATTAAGTCCCATATCTTATACTAAGGGTACCCGCTTTTTTGGGGTTGGCGAGTTTGAGGGAGCCTTGAACCAAACAAAAAGGAAAAAGGGTACCACCGGGTTTAGGGTTTAGGGTTTAGGGTTTCGGGTTTAGGGTGTAAGGTTCACTGCAGGCATACGACGGCACGTGCTGCGACATCCTGCAGCCAATCCCAAAAAACCCGAGCCTGCCTAAACCCTGAACCCTGAACCCTGAACCCTGAACCCTGAACCCTGAACCCTGAACCCTGAACCCTGAACCCTAAACCCTAAACCCTAAACCCTAAACCCTAAACCCTAAACCCCAAAACTCAAAGCATTAGGGGACTGCGAACCCTGAACCCCAGGTGCCAGGTGCCCAATGCCGCCAAAGTCACTTGCAGCAAACTCATCCACTGCCTGCTTGACTCCCACAACAGAGCCGTCGCCTGAAGGGTCTGGGGGGTTTAGGGTTTAGGGCTTGGGGTTTAGGGTCCGCCGACCCTGGCGGCGTGTTGGATGGGAAAGGAGGTGAAAACCTTCCTCTTTCCCTCCTTACCCCCCCAAAACACGGGGGAGGGGGGGGGTGGGGGGGGTCGGTGCACAATTTTTTCATGGAGACCACGCCACCCCGCACAAAACAGCGGTTCAGCTGGGGGGTAGGCGCCCTCAGCAAATCAGCGTTTTCAGCACCCCACCCCCCCCACCCCCCCCCCCCCCCACCCCCCCCCCCCCCACCCCCACCCCCACCCCCCCCCACCCCCCCCCCCCCCCCCCCCCCCCACCCCCCCCCACCACCCCCCCCCCACCCCCACCCCCTCCCCCCCCCCCCCCCCCCCCCCCACCCCCCCCCCCACCCCCCCCCCCACCCCCCCCCCCCCCCCCCCCCCCCCCCCCCACCCCCCCCGCCCCCTCTTTTTTGGCTTGAGCGTGCTGCCCCCTCCCCCCCCCCCCCAAACGTTTCACAGAACTCTGCTGAGCAGGCTGGGATAGACCTCTCAACTATGCTCCAGCGGGGTCGGCGGCTTGAGCTGGAGGCTCTTAAATTTAAGGTTTAGGGGAAAGGGGTTAGGCTGGGGGTTGACAAGGCATGCTCAGATCCAAACATCGTACGACCGCACTGTGGGTCCAGTGACGACGTTCCCTCCCCCCACCCCCCACTCCTTTTGCTTTGATTGAGGGTTTAGAGTTTAGGGTTTTGGGTTTTAGGGTTTAGGGTTTTGGTGTTTAGGGTTTAGGGTTTAGGGTTTGGATTCAGGACCCCGGTCGTCTTCACCCTGCCCGGCCTTCGGTTGTGTAGTTGCTGCCGGCCATCGTCCCACCTTGCGACAGAGGGTGGCCCCCTTACTCTAGCGAGAATAAAGGGACCCTACACCCCCCAAACCCCTAAACCCGTAAACTCGCTTATAACCCAACTTACGGGGCTCTGTAAACTCTACTTACACTTAGGTGCGGGCCTCCTTGTGGCCAGAGACCTAGTAACCTTATGACCCAAACCCGTATGAAAAGCTTTTGGGTCCCCGCCTCAAATGCGCACACAGAAGCTTTTGGCGGGTGAATCTTAGGCTGCAACTGCACAGGCTTCAACTCAAAGGCATACTCCTCTTGACGAAAAGGGCTCTCGGGCACTGTGGTTGATACGTTAGAGTTTGACAGGTAAGGTTTCAGCGCTTTAAAACTCAGATATTCAACCAAACCCAAACACTGAACCATAAATCCTAATAAAGTCAACCTATATATACATATACACACTATGCACTTATGTTCAGACATACAGCTCTCCTCTCGTGTTTGTCGGCGATGCCTTCGGCGAGCAGTGGCCACCAGGTTGCGAGGTCCGTTCGCACCTTGCCGATGTCACAAGGACCCCAAAATGTCATTCATGGAAGCTTAGGGAGTTATAGGGAGTAGTGGGGAGTATCAGAGAACCGTGTTCCATACCCCTTGAACCCCCCTCCCTTACCTGGTGCCCAAGTGCTCAGAACCCAAAACCCGAAACCCTAGACCCTAAAGCCGAAACTCTAAACCCAGCTTGTGGGGAGGGAGGAGGGTGCAGTGCACGCTATCGAGTGGGCATCCTAGGGCAGGGTGACCGTACCTGCGGTACAAGCTTGAACCCTAGACCCTAGAACCTTTAACCTGCCTTCAGCATTGCTAGGTTGGTACTTGGATTTGAAAGGTTGCTAAGGGCCAACGTCTCTTCAAGAGGGGCCTAGACCACAACCCCGGAAATCCCAAACCCTGAACCCTAAAAGCCAAAAGCCGTAAAACTTTAAACGCCAATGCTCGAAAAACCTAAAGTCCTAAGCCCTAGCCGGACTTAGCCGGACCTCCTGAACCCTTCAGCCCTTTCACTCTGAAGAATCCAGAGAAAGCCCGACACCTCATTCTCAACGACTAGCTGCATACAAGGATCGGTAAATTTTGGGGCTTGGGGTTCGGGCCTTCTGTGTAGGAAATCATTATTCCCCACCCTCGGTATGGGGTTGTTAGATGTTAAACTCAACTCTTCTCCTCGCCCGGTTCCCTGGAGTGCCCAACCCCAAAGTGTCCCTGGAGTGAGAGTGTCCCTGCGGTGCCCAACCCCCAGATTGTCCCCGGAGTGCCCAGCCCCAGAGTCTCCCTGGAGTTGGACCAACCCCAGAGTGTCCCCGGAGTGCCCAGCCCCAGCGTGTCCCTGGAGTGCCCAACCCCAGAGTATCTCTACCAAGAGTGGGTGGGGACGTTCGAAGTAAAAACATTTTTGTACTACGGATAGGTCCATTTAGGGGTTTGTTGCTTCGGGTTGAGGGGTCCTGTGTACGTCTCATTCAGGGGTTGGGGGGCTCGCCCTTGATAAGGCCCAGGCAGCACCGTACGAAGGGTTTGCATCATGGAAGACCATGAGAGGCGGCGGACCTCAAGAAGACTGGAACCCTCATGGTCCTACACACTTTTCAACCCTAAACCTTACCAGGCCCGATGGTTCTTGAATTTGTTTGTGCCAGTGTGGGGGCGGGGGTGGGGTGGCAGGTAGGGTGGCAGGGCAAGAACATGACCCACCTCTCCCCCCTCCAACCCCCATGGCCCCCATTATTACAATCTCACGTAGTCGCAATATCCTCGAATACAGTCGCCTAGCATAGAGAAGTATATAGGTACTGACACCCCCACGAAGCTGCAGGCTCCGCTTAGGGTTTCGCCTTCAGGGTTTAGGGTGGCCTAAACTTTAAATCTTAAACCCTAAACCCTCAACCCTAAACCCTAAACTCCCTAAACCCTAACCCTAAACCCTAAACCCTAAACCCATGTAAGCCGAGGATACTGGCAGGTCGAAGGTTCCACAACAAACTCTCGGGACGCAGAGAGCCATCTGAACTCTTCTACCTGGAACCTCTCTGAACCCGCACTTTCATAGGTCATTCGGGGTTTAGGGTTTAGGGTTTAGGTTTGCTTTTGCGGCTTGAGAGTGCAGACTCAGGCAAACCCTAAACCTCAAACTCTGCGCTTACTCGGCGGACCTCTCTCCAACGTGAGAATCCCGGACAGGGAATTGGCAAATGGCAAAGGCTCACGTTTTGGAGGTCATGGGTAGTTGTAAGTAGGTATAGGGTTATGAGTAACTGAAATCGGGCTTGAAGGATAGTTACCATATTTAAAAACATACATACAACTACCCAAGAACCTCCAAGTACGGGATCTACGTCCGACTTAGTCTCTCGGGTGTGGTCTGGGGTTGAAAAGTTTAGGATTCTGGCAGGCCAGGAGGCTGGCTTTCGTGGCGCATGAACTTTGGCACCGTTTAAAGACTGCTTCCGCTATCTTGGGTGGCCGTGGCGGGGGAAGGGGCTAAGCCCTAACTAAACCCTAAACCCTAAACCGTATGCGTGGGACTCTTGGTGCAGCAGAGGCACCCCACTTCTTGTCTAACCAAATCGCCGGAACAGAAAACGAGAACTCGCGCCTGGGCCAGGCATGGAGCGAGTCCAAACTGCTCCGCAACACAGCTC